ACTGGCTGGCTGCTATTGAATTTTTAAGTTTTATTTCAGTTCTTAGGTTTCTTTACAGATTTTTACTAACCTGTTATGCAATTATGAATTTCTGAAAATTATTCCTTGTAACAATTCTCACATCCAGTGGACAAACAGAAAATGTCCTATAAATGAGCTACTCTTGCAGTTTTTCCTATTTCTCTCTTAAACAGGTGAGAAACCTCACAGATGTCATTTATGTCCATTTGCATCTGCTTATGAGCGCCATCTGGAAGCCCACATGCGTTCTCATACTGGGGAAAAACCATACAAATGTGAGTTATGTTCCTTCCGCTGCAGTGACCGAAGTAACCTGTCCCACCATCGAAGGCGCAAACATAAAATGGTACCAATTAAAGGTACCAGGTCTTCCTTAAGCAGTAAGAAAATGTGGGGGGTTTTACAAAAGAAAACAAGCAATCTGGGGTATAGCAGAAGAGCACTAATCAACTTAAGTCCACCTTCTATGGTGGTCCAGAAACCAGACTACCTTAATGATTTTACCCATGAGATCCCAAATATTCAGACTGACGCCTATGAAACTTTGGCAAAAACTACACCAACTGGTGGTCTGCCAAGGGACCCCCAAGAACTCATGGTTGACAACCCTTTGAATCAGCTTTCTACTTTAGCAGGACAGTTGTCCAGCTTGCCACCAGAAAACCAAAACCCTGCCTCCCCTGATGTAGTTCCCTGCCCTGATGAAAAGCCTTTCATGATTCAGCAGCCCTCTGCCCAAGCAGTAGTCTCTGCGGTCTCAGCAAGTATTCCTCAGAGCTCCTCCCCCACAAGCCCAGAGCCTCGACCATCGCATAGTCAGAGGAACTACAGCCCAGTGGCAGGGCCAAGCAGTGAACCAAGTGCCCACACCAGTACCCCCAGCATAGGAAACAGCCAGCCAAGCACTCCAGCTCCAACCCTGCCGGTCCAGGATCCTCAACTTCTACACCACTGCCAGCACTGTGATATGTACTTTGCAGATAATATCCTTTACACTATTCACATGGGATGCCATGGGTATGAAAATCCTTTTCAGTGTAATATATGTGGATGCAAATGTAAAAACAAGTATGATTTTGCTTGTCATTTTGCAAGAGGGCAACATAACCAGCACTGAACACAATCAATATTATTCTCACTTGGTTTGGCCTTTTGGGGGTTTTGTAGTTTGGTCTTTAGTTTTGATCATCCCTAATAAGGTATCTGCTAATTTAAAATTTATACATTTTATTCATAAAATAGTAATTTGATAGTGAAAAGGGGTTTTGTTAACTTTTCATAAAGTCTGGTCAGGGTTATTTATGCATTAGATAGTTAGAAGCATTGATATCTTTTTCATTTAAACACGTAAGAGTTGAAGTATAGCTGGGATCTTACAAGGTGTTCAGTTTCCCACACTTGCCCATAAGGACTCCCAGGGTTATCTGTACTCTTGATATATATATAGATAGATAGATACTTCACACATATATTACAGCTAAATATTCTTTCTGCAATATTTCAAGATGGCACAATAAACTTCTCATAAAACCTTTCACAACATTTCAGTGTTTGTAGAGAAACTGCCTTTAGATTTGCTCTTAATTAAAAGTGCTATTTTCATTCACTTAAGTTGAATTAATTTCATTTCAACCAAAAATAGTACAGTTATTTCAGTGTAATAAATTTTCTTCTTTGAGGGGAAATATAAAGCAATTCTTTTCAAATTTAAATTATAAAAATGAAAGTCCTGGAAGTTGAAATTTGGGGACAAATTGAAAATTGTGTTTGCTATTGGAGATATCTGTTCATTTAATATCTAGTTTAAACATGTTAGCTTTTGATTGTTTTTATATGTATATATATATTTCTAATTTTAAAGCCACAGGTAAATATGCCAGAGTGCTAGATGCCTTTTTCAGCCTGAATCTTTCATTTAAATTCTGCATTCAGCTGTTATTGGTGTCAGGTAAGACTGACAACCACACTGATAATCTTATTCTTCCTAGTCTTTGATGACCAAAGAGGAAGTGGGGTTCATCTATCTTATTAAGATGCTTCAAAACAATCTCCAAAGTTTCCTTTTCTGCCTTCTGCCAATAATTTCAAAGAAAGGTGGGTAGAAAAACTCAGAAAAATGTGCTAATGAGGAAATAGCTATGAAAATGAGAATATGTCCAAACAGACCTTACTTTCTTCTGCAGAGTAGGCCATGGAAGGTACTTCCTATGCGTCTTCATGGACAGTGACACTGGGATAGTGTCACCACAGTGGGAAAGGATAGAGAGTGAAAGTCAATACAAAGCACATTTAAATGTGACATTTAACTTGTTTATAATTAGAGGTTCATTTTACATAGGAAGCTGTTATTTTTGTATTGTGTAATAAGATTACCCCGAAGAGAGCCTGGCAAACAATAAAACATTGTCACTTACTCTTGGTTTCTGTGTACTTTGCAGAATTTTCATTTTTAATTTGGTTAATATCTTAAAAATATTTCTAATTGGCTTCTTAAAGAAATACCTTGTCAAGCATTTATTAACCAAAAATGGCCTCTTACAGTAAATAAGAGGGAAATATTGATGGTGTCTACCCATTAAGCCCCAAGTGCCCTGTTTATGGATCTGTGCCCTCCCTCCCAGTGCTCGAAAGCCATTCAGAGGGTGCCTGTGCTTGCGCAACCAGTGTTGGCTCATCCCAACTGTACTGTTAAAGCACAGCACAAAGACACTTTCTCTTGTGACTCTAACTTTCTAGTGATTTTTGTCGCTTACTCACTGATTAGATTAATTTTAGCGCAACACTTTCTAAATACATAACTTGTGTAGTGCTTATCAGTTGCCAGAAGGAAACAGGTTGTTTGGAAATTTTGCTATTTTTGAAGTTTGATTTAACTAAAAGCAATACCCCCAAATAGAGAATGAAAACTTCCCTGAAAGAGGAAGAAGCCCAGTGTGGTGCTGCACACCTGTAGTCCCAGCTGCTTGGGAAGTCCAGGCAGGAAGATTGTTAGACACAGGAGTTCTCTGTCAGGCTGGGCATCACTGCAGGTCTCAAAAGCCAGACAACCTGAAAGAGCTCACCTTAAAGCCAGCTTTATCATCTTTACATTCTGGGCCAAACAGTGACGTGCATTTTGTTTTTCCTAACAACTAAAGATGAATGTTTTGAAAGTACATTTCACTTTAAATATGGAAAAAACTTTTCATAAGTACAAGCTAGAAGGGAAAATCCTAATTTCTAATACCATAAAGAGCACAGTTGGTCTTCCAAAGGTGTTGATGCATAAAGCTACAAATAAATGCACTAAAATTTTGAAGCAAATCTACCTTAGAAACTTTTTTGAAATTGTACTTTTAAAGATTTAGGGTTTTGCTTAAATATTCTGAGTTAAATTCTGTATTAGGAAAGATGTTAGATTCTTTCCTCAAATACTAAATATGTTCCTCATTTTATTTTTAACCAAATGTTTTATAGAGATGAGTTGAGAAAAGTTTAACATGCACTATTTATAGTACTTTGCCATTAACAGGCAATGTTCTGAAACTAAATTTATTTTTGTTCAGTGAACATAAGTTTAGATTTTTAAAGTTGGTAATTTATCTCCACTAATATTTTTTTAAGAAACTGTGAAGAGATTAATGGAATAATTTTATTTCAGATTTTACTAATGTAGTATGTAGCTACAACTTCTTGACATTCAAGTGAAGACTAGACTTTTATTTTGAAAATTTTCCATTGGGTAGTTCCAGTGCTGTTTCATTTTAGAAATGTGTTTGCCATTCATCTGCAGAATTGTTTGACAAAGGGAATATACTTAAAATGAAAAACAAAAAATCAACAGAGGTATCTCTCTTTTAAATCTGCAAAAATACTTATCAAATGAAGAATTATTAGAAAATTTAAAGTTCCCTGCTAAAGATGTTTTCATTAGTCTTAGGGGGTAGGTATATGCTTTCTAGAACTTGTTTTTGTTGATGCCTGGATATATGGGATATGTTGTCTATATGAGGTGTAAATCTTGCATTACAGTTGTAAGGTACATTATATTGTTTAGGGATCAAGGAAGCAGTTTAATGTTGAAGTAACTATCTAGTACGTAGTTCCTATTGTGAATAATGCTTTGCTTTTGTAATATATGAATAAAAAATAACACTTTCTAATGACTTTGTGTTTTTTAAACTAGAATAAAATGAAATTTTTTTAGTAATTTGTGATACATAAAATATTAATAAAGGATTTTATGGCTGGCTAGTTTGAATTTCTAGAATCCATTATGGAAAGAGATACGAGTTTACACAAAAGAGCTCTCTAGGTCTGAACTCATTTCTAGTTGTTGTGGTTTGAATGAAAAAATGTGTCCTTCCGTTTGAACATTTGGTCCCCAGTCAGTTCCATTATTTCAGGTTTTGTAGAACCTTGGGGATGTGGTGCTTACTTGGTGGAAGTGGTTGCTAGGGCAGGCCTTAAAGGTCTTATCTGCCTCTGATTCTGGTCTAGAATCTGCTTCCTTGTCCACAGTGTGAGAAACAACAGCCACAAACTTCTACCACTGTGCACGAAGCCAGCCCAGCAGCCATGCCTTCCCCACCCGATCTACGCCTCCGAAAGCTGTGAGCTCAGATAAATCACTCCGCCTTCAAGCGGTTTTCTGCCAGGTATTTTGTCACAGTTGTATGCCTAACTAAGATAGTCCTCTTTATTCAAATCAGTTTAACCTGCTTTACCCTACAGTACAGGCACATCAGTGAGGAAGGCTGCCTTTCTTATATCAGTTATCTACATCACATTTGGCAAATAGTTCTCTGAAGTAATTTCTGGCATGTAAAGTAGAACTTTGAAATTAGACATTTTGAGGTTTTTTTTATTTTAATGTTCAGTATGGTCTTTGGCAGTTCACAATATTGGTCTATAAAACACCCAGTCATACAAAATTGTTTGCAAAAGTTTACCCAAGTCAGGAATTGGATTAGAAATTCAGAAAGTTTAATGTTGCTTTGAAAAATACTTCTGCACAACAGTATCTCTCTCATCACAAAAAGAAGAAATAATATCTGATAAGTTGGTGGTTTGCTGAAAGCACAGATATTTCCTGTTTCCTTGTCGTAGATCTTCCAAAAAATCTGCTTTGAGCTTGTTAAGGTCTTCTGCTAGACGCTTCAAGTTATCAAGAGGTATTTTCTCATCTAAAATAAAAGATATTCTCAGATTATTTCTGTAAGTCAGTTTGGGCTGCCTATTGCCATCTGATTACATCAAATAGGCCAGATTCTCCAGTAAACAATTAGGTGCATTGTAATAATTTATGGACAAGAAATAACATTAATGTGATCTAGGAAAGTCATCTAGACAAGAGCCACAATCAGTTTAAGTAGTTACTCTGGTGTATGAGCAGAAGACAAACAAAAAAGGATATATATTTTTAAGATTTTATTTATTTTTATATTATATATTATGTTTTTCCTGCATGTATATATGAGCATTCTACCATGCCTGATGCTCATAAAGGCTAGAAGAGGGCATAGATCTATTACTGGAGTTATAGATGAGCTGCCACATCAGTGCTGGGAACTGAACACAGGTCTGCAAAGAACAGCAAGTGCTCTTAACTACAGAAGCATCTCTCTAGCCCCCTAAAAAGAAGTTTTGCTTTGTTTTGTTTTGTTTTTTGTTTGTTTGTTTGTTTGTTTGTTTGAGACAGAGTCTCACTGTGTAGCACTGGCTGGCCTGGAAATCTCTATGTAGATCAAGCTGACCCTAAACCCTAAATTCACATCCTTCTGTCTCTTAAGTGCCAGGATTAAAGGCTTGCAATGCCACACTGGACTATTTTTGAGCCAGGATACCTCTTTTCCATCTTTTGCTTTGAAAAATAAAACGACAATTTGGTTTTTTGAAGCTGATAAATAATACATTTGAACAGCTGTCCCAAGTAACTTTTCTATGATGATGAAAATGTGCTACCAGGCACTGCCATATGGGTAGTGTTACTGAGCATCTGAAATTAGCTTTATTGAGATACAACTTACCATAATTGTGTCAGTGTAAAATGTGATGGTTTAGCTTGCATAGTGGCACACTCTTTTAATCCCAGCACTGGGGAGGCAGAGGCAGGTAGAGCTGTGAGTTCGGGCCAGCCTGGTCCACAGTGAGTTCCACAACAGCCTGAGGTACCCTGTCTCAAAAAAAGTAATGTTTTTTTTTAAGAATACTCACATATGTGCAATCACCAGCATAGTTACTTTTCCAACACTTTCACAGCTGAAAAGCAAGCTGTATCCCCTGACAGTTGCCCTTCCTAATCTACCGCTAATCCTTCTGCTGTGATTTCCAGCTCTGGATGTTCATATGACCTCTTCCAGTTGGGATGTTCTCAAGGTTCCCCATGTTCTCTCCTGGCCAGTATTCTAGTTCTTTTTGTAGCCACACAACATTCTCGTATGAGTGACCTCATTGTATTTCTCCATTTATAAGGTGATGGGCAGCTGGGTTGTTTCTACCTTTTGGCTGTTATGAATAGTTCTGCTATAAACAGGCATTGTATCAACATTAAGTTTTCATCTCTCTCAAACCTATCACTATGGAGCAGAATAGCTGGGCCACGTGGTAACAAACATTAGAAGAACTGCCTGGCTGTTTCCAAAGCAGCTGTGCATCATTCTGTATTTCCACCAGTAGGATGTGAGGGCTCTGATTTGTCCACATCTTCAACAAATCTTGGACCGTCTCATTTTGGCCATTCTAATGGCTGTGGAGTGGTATATCCTATGGTTTTGATCTGTATTTTGCTTTTCATTAAATTTTAACATGTCTTCATTTGAATGTTGATCCTCTCTGTATCTCCCTTGGGAAAAAGATGTCTATTTAGATATTTGTCCATTTTAAGATTGGGTTACTTGTGTGTTAATGTACAGTAAAGAGTTCTCTATATATTTATATTTATATATTCAAGTTTCTCATGAAATATTTGCAAGTGTTGTATCCCATATGTGGGCTGTCATCTCACTTTCTTGATGGCAGAGAAATTAAATTTTTAGTTTTATTCAAGCACACAATTAGAAACTAGTACCCACTTCTCTCCTCTCCAGAAGAGTCTGCATTTTCCCAGTGGGTGGGAATGGTAAGTGATTTGGGCATAGAACAGAACAAGAGGCAAATGGCTGAGAAAAAAATAATGGTTTCTGCTTTGTTCTAATTATGCTGCCATTTCTGTTCCAATCCTGTTAGAAGTTTTGGATTGTAATTCATTAATGAGTGGCAATGGTATTCTAAAATGAGAAAATAAAACATTCCATTAAGTATGAGGATATGTTTGTGAAACTTGTTTCCACATGTGCCTCAGTTTACATACTATATCACACACTGTTGGTATGGTTAACATTCCGTCCTTTTCAGTGTCCTCAGCTGTTATGAAGTTAACAGTAAAGGCGGGGCATATAACAACAGACTGGAATCAGAATTAACCTCATCTCAGGTTGCCCTCAAATTTAGCAGCTTCTTCAGCCTTGGGAAAGTTACTTGATTCACTGTGAATCTCCATTTTTTTTTCTCATTTATAAAATTACACCAACCTTACATGATTGTAAAGAGTAGCATATCAAAGGAGTTAAATGTTAGCTGCTCTTTTCTTTTTAAAACAAATTTTAAACATAATGTGGAGTTAAAAATTTAAAACTTAAAGCAATTATTGAAAAGCTATACTTACCACATATCTGAAACTATTTTTAAATACTATTCCTATTTATAATAAGTGACCTTGTTCAAATTCCATGCTTGTCTGACCCCTGACCCTGGAGTACCTTTAAGCCATCTCTCCAGCACCCTAATTACTCTTAAAAATAAATTTACTTTAGGGGACTGACATATATTCATATAATTAGTTACCTTTTGTCTGTCTTCTCACTAAAATAATCTGCTTCCTATTGATTTTCTGGTATCTAAGGAAAAATCTAGTGGAAAAAAATAGACCACTCAATAAAAATGAATGAAATGGATAAATACCCAGTTCCAGGGGATGGTCTAGCTATGTAACCATACAGCAACTGTTAAGCTGAAATGCTGATACTAAGCTCTGGTGTCAAGGAAATGGCCGGAACAGAGAGCACCCCAGCCACTAAAGAACCAGACCACATACCTTTGGCTTCCTTCATTGTCTGAGAGATGGTTCTGCGGAGTGTTTCATCAGCTTTATGGAGGATGTTAGTAGAACAAATAATTCTGTCTGTTTCCTGTGTAATATAGACATTGTTACTGGGAATAGTTTATAAAATAAATGACCAAGGTCTAGACTCATTTGAAGGGACCAAAAGATAAGCCACAGTGGCTTTTGTGTTTTGTTTTGTTTTCCTCGTAGGAGACCCAAATGAATCATGCCCAGTTGTAAAGTTGCTGGTGAGTGTGTAATAACTGGCTTTCTAGAAAGAAAACCTTCCTCCAACCTATATGTAGTGTTTCTGTGCTTTGATGGTGTAAACAGTTCCATCACTGTCCACTTTCAGTCACCAATGTAAGGTTCCAGCGTTTCTGAACGTTTACCATGGGGATTTGACCAGCAGGCACAGGCCCTCAGCAGCTCACCGAGTGGATGTCAGAAGCCAGAGGCTGGTGCGGTGCCATCCTGCTAACAGTCTGTCTTTCACTTTTCTCTTGCTATCAGCTCAAAATGTCTCCCTGCAAAAAAGCTATTCCTTCTCATTGGCACCAACTCTGACTGGCGTATTTACCTTTTGTTCCGTATTGTCCTCAACACATTTTATGGGATTTTCCAAAGCAGTAAGCAACAAATCAGTCACCTCCAGGCTATAGAGAAAGTGAGATACAGTATAATCAATCTTTCTATAAAACATTTGCTTTTTAAAGAACCTGCATTAATAATACTATATTGGATGCAGGAGAGCGAAACTGTCATTCAGGGTCCTTATTGAAAGGGAATAAACATAGTGATTTGGAAGCCATCTTCCATTTGTAAAACATTAAGTGAAACTCAAATTAGAAACCATTCCTACTTCATAAAAGTCCAATTTACAACCTAGACTATAGGCTTTTAAAACTATTATAGTCCCTAAAGAAAGTTATTGTTTACTTCTGGCTTCTGCTTATTTACTAGATAAGGACTAGCAAATTTCCTCACTTGCTAAGGGTCCCTAGAGAACTCAGAATTCATTCATTCAGTAAATATATATTGAACATCTCATATGTAAACATTGTAAAGCTACATTTGTGAAACTGCTAATCTAGGGGTATAGCAAAATGCCCAATCACTCTAATCCTGAAAATGGAATGGACTGCGACAGGTGAACCACTGAGCACAAATGTAACCCTGGACAGTGTTAAGTGGCTAATGAAGACAACAGAGCGATTGTGCTGAGAGACTGGGTAGTCAGATAGCCATTACTCCAGTTAGATGGCTGAGCCAGCCAGTTAGCACAAACTGGACCACAAACACCAGGGCCCGAAAAGAACAAGCTTTTTGTGCCCAGAGCATAGGAGGCTGGTTTGGGGTGGTGGCAGGATGATTATTAGGACATGTAAGTCATAAGTAGAAGTTGGGTTTTACTTAGAGTACAGGGGCCAGGGGTGAAGTTATAAGCCAGTGAGTAACATCTCCACCTTGATCTTTCTCATTTGGAGTTCAGGCTCTAGAATGTGACTGCGCTGGGTCCCATGGTTCTGCCACTTGCTTCCTGGGCATGTTACTTGATTTACCTGGGCCTTAGTTATCCCAGCATAAAATGGAATTTTTATGCAATTTTTTTAACCCTTAAAGGGTTGTGAAGATGGAATAACACTGTAAAGTGTCCAGAAGCACAGCCAGTATGTAGTATGTACCAAGTAGTTACTATTATTTTATAAGCCAGGATAAGTTACATTTATTATATTAACTCTCAGTTTGTAGTTTTCAAACTCCATACTTGACACTAACCCCAGTCAGTTGCCCTGGGGCTATTGCATAGGTACAAGTGACCAAGTTCATAAGATCTGGGGCAAAACTGCAAATTGCATGTAAGTCATAAGTAGAAGTTGTCATATGAAAGTAACTACAGAAGCCCACACTCTGCTGGCCTGCGTCTCATTGGCGTCGAGGAAGTGAAGATCAACTGATACCATTCTAACAGTACCTCAAGCAGCCACTTACTGCCAGAGGAAGAATATACACAGGTGCCCCAGAAAGAACAGCAATCCGTTGATGATGTACACACACCTACCTACAACTGCAGAAATTGGGAGGCTGAAGTAGGATCATGAGTTCGGGACCAGCCTGGGCTACATATTGAGACCCTGTTTTAGAAAACTGGAAACCTAATCAGTGGCTTATTTCATGAACTGTATAAACAATAGTAATCTAAGTGCTAGTTCTGTTTTGTTTTGGGTATGTGAAATTTATAAACTATATAGAAACTATACAGAGAAATCTGTCCAAGGAATGAATCTATTTTAAAACCAGCATGATACAATATCCCTAAAGGTGCAGCAGGAGCAGTAATCAACAGCTGTCTAACTGGACTTAAGGTCCACTCAACAGGCAGGAAATCAGGCCTGGTACTGGAAACCTGGGGCTGGTGAGGCTATGGCCCTTAGAAGAGAACCTGCTGCCACCACTTTAGTAAACGAACATAGTTTCCCAACAGCATTCTAGACTCTTATCCTTATACTCACACAGAAGTGCAGCTTTCACCCCTCATCACAGAAGTTTCTCTTTCCAGCCAATTGAGACCAACAAGAGCGATCTTGTTGTCTGGCCTCAGTGGACACATCTACAACATAACTGCTGTACTCAGGGTTCAGGTAACATAGAAGAGGAGACAGAAAGATCCTAAGAGCCAGTGGACCAGAAAATGTGATGTGAGATTATGTCTCTTAGCAATGACAGAGAAGCCACACCCATGATTATCTCAACGACACCAGTAGACACGCTAACTTGGAAGGGGGAATTCTTATGGGACCTGCCCCTAGACAAAGAACTATAGGTAACTAATGATTGCTGAGAGAGAGAGAGAGAGAAAATTAATCTTTCCTAGGGATGAGCCCCCTAACTGCAATACCAAGTTGTGAGCCTTGAAATCACATATATACAATCAACACTAAATAGACTCAGCAAGTTGTATTTATATACTGTGTATAAATATATATATATATATATACATATATTTATACACACATACATGTACATATGACAATAATAATTTGAAGCCATGAATTTGAGAAGGAATGGGGGGAAACAATGGGAGTGGGGAGGAAAGTGAGGAAATTTCAAATATTTATACACATATATATGTATATGTAAAACCAAGCTTAAAAATTAAACCAAAAAAATGCACACTGTATCTTAAGATCTACACTGTTCAACAGCAGTTTGTAGCCATATGAGACTATATTAAATTGACTAAAAACTTAGCTATTCAATTACATTAGATACAGTTAAGCATTCGGTAACACTCTTGACTAGCTGCTCCCATACTAGACAGAGCAGAGAACATTTCCATCATTCATGAAACTTCTAAGAGAAATATACTGCTCCAAAATTTCTCATATCGCCAATGGAAACCAAGACACCAGAGTCTGCAAGCTTCACATACACATGGGCAGGGTAACCAACTATCAGCGTTCTAGGACCATTGAAAACCCCTTGTTAGTTTCATTACAACTTAAAACTTTTTGGGAGTACTAGATTTCAAGCTATGGCTTTGCACAAGATATGGCTTTGCACAAGATATGCAGGTGCTTGACCACTGAACTGTACCTCTAGCTCAGATCTATAGGAAAACACTTCACAACCTATTTAGGCAACTTTAACAAGAGTACCAAAAGACAGGGTTTCTAACTAGAATGGCTGGTCAGCAAGCCCCACCCAGTGCTGGGACCACAGACACGAGTAGCTAGGCCCCACTTTATCAGTACTGGGGATCTGAGTTCAGGTCCAGTGCAGCAAGCCTTTTACCCACTGGGATATCTACCCAGCCTGAGACATTACAACTTGAACAGTTAAAAGCAGACATTTATAAAGAAACTTGGATTCAAATCTCAGCTCTTCTCTTCCTCCACACAACTCCCCAAGGCCTGTGGGCGAATGGCCAGTCCCATACAGTTAAGCATGTTTTACAGGGTACCCACGGGAGAACACTAAGACGATGTAGAGTAGGTTACCTGGCCTCCGAGGAACATGATGAACTCTGAATTACGAGACTGTTGTGTTCCCAGGCATTTTTCTCACCGTTGGGCTTTTCTATCTTGCTCTCCATGAGGCGGATGGTCTCATTAGGTAGTGGCTGGGGTCTCTGGCCATTCCTCAGCAAACATGTTTCCAGGGGACAATCTAAAAAGAGCTGGCAAAAGCCCAGTGAATCTGAAAACAGGTTTAAAATTACCAAATTACTGGCCTGTGTCTCGAGAAATGTGAAATAAATATATACTAGTCCCACATGAAGCAGGGAAATTCCATTTGCAATACTGAAAAGCCACTTTAAAAATCAAATCCATATAGACCTAATTCAATTAAATGGTCACTAAAGGCAGCTGTGATTTCATATATGTGAATTGATGTTTCCATGTATAAAAAGAATGTCTTAATTACATTTCCGAGCCAGTTGGTAGACTTCATATCTCATACTTTGGTAATAAAAGTTGTCATCTAACACCAAAAACAAACGTCTAGAAACAGCCGTTTTTGCCAAGAGGTGGCAAGGCTGAGCCTCATGCGCTGCAGAAAAGATCAAATCCTGTTTTTTTAAGCAAGTTATAAAATCTTCCCACATGGTTTCAGTCCTGTTGGGTGGGGCAGACATCTGACCGCCACTAATGATCGCGACGAGGAAACATTCCAGGTGCTTTAACAGTTCTTGTCGAAACATTTTCCACTGGGATGGCTACAAAACAACAAAGAATTGAAATTTATTTTAGGCTTTAGCTAACAGGCTGGTCATCTTGCTTTATTGCCACCCTGACCACATTTAAAATCTCAGCCCCACAGTACTGAAACATTTGAAGTTCTCAACAGACACTTTGTTTCTCATACCTTCCTGTCTCCATAGATCCTGCACCCTCTGCCTAGAGCATCCCCAGTGCCCGCCAGAGCTGTGTGAAGCCTTCTCAGACTCGACCATGTAGAAGTGCAGCCCCGTTCTGTACATCGTCCCTACTCTATCGGGGCTTCCATCAGTTATCTGGATATAGATAGATCACCTTCATAGCACTCCCCGCTAGATCACGTGGCCTCCAGCAGAGGCTGGCAGGTGTTCCAGAAATGGATGTTCAGCGAATGAATGAGGGAGTGAACACATGAGCATGAAAGTCCTTTACCACACAGGAGAACAAAGAAGCCAAAATCAATATCCTGCTGAACTAAAACAGCCTAAGATGTAACAATGTTGGTTTGTCCTTGAAATGAAAAGGGGTACCAACCGCTATATAAGTCAGTTGAAGGTCCTCTGGCCAAGATGCAAAGACATCAAGCTCACAGCAACTGGACTGTGAGATTGGGAAAGATGGCAGGAACAGATAGGAGGGAGAAAATGAGGAGCCGGAGAGTACACGTGATCTTGTTTCGTGAAGGGTGGTGGGGGAAAACTGTGGTTCTGAAGTCAAGGCTGGAGGAAATACAGAAGGACCGGAGATGAATCCTTCTCTTGTCTTGTCCACACAAAAGCACACCAGACAAACCCACAGAGAAGGAAATCTGTGCCACTTCCTACAGGGTGGAGATTTTCTAATCACAGTGACCAAGAGGGGGAGTTTTAATCACAGTAATAAGGTGAAGGAAAAATAATCTGGATCAGTAACTTTTATCTTTATCCAAAGCGGTGAGAATACTATCATACAAGTAACTCCCGATTACAATACTGTTCCCCGCCCCCACAACCAAAACTGAAGCAGCAGACAAATTCTAGAGAAATCTAGAATTTTTTCACATAATGAATACATATGTCTTTGTATATATTTATCTTTGTACATACTTACAGAATGGAGTCATCTTATTTGCCTTTAATTCATGAGACACTCAAGCACTAACCATCAAATGTAACAATTTAAGATTTCAGAAGATCCCAGAAGCCATTGCTGTAAAGTATGCAAGTGGAGACTGGACCCTGCTCCACCATGTGGTCTGCTTCCGTGTACGACTACCAGGGGTGCACCTCACTGGGATCTAAGTGCAGGGATTAAGAAGTATATACTTGGGGCACACAATTCAAGTCTATTTGGCTGTCAACCCAGAAAGCACTACCTTTTCCAATACTGTGGCAGACCAACCCTGGAGGGACCTAGAAATTTGTCATTTATCACTTTTGTTCTTTATACTCATGGGAAGTTCCAAAATGGTACAGAGCTCAAATCCCTCAGAATATGGTTTTAACCGGCTATAAGCAGAATCTTTTTTTTTTTTTTTTTTTTTAGAGATTCCTTCCTTTGACTAAGGAAAAACTACCCAAGGGATTGTTATCCAGAGGTAGACTAGGACATCCCATCTTTAAACTAAACTCTGCCATGGGATTTGGAGGTGGCACCTGTGGTCCCAGATACAGTAAGAGGAGGGGCCAGGATGATCCTTGAGCGCTGGAGTTTGGGATCAACCCGCGAAACATAGCTAGGCCTTATCTTAAGCGCCTCTGCATAGAATAAGCAATATGTGAACGGTCCAAACTTGCATAAAACCTCTACAAAGCATGGCTCTCAGCGCTGTATAGTATTATTTCAGCTACGTCTCCTAGACACGACCTAACCAGCTCCCTTCTTCTCGATCAGGCTTCCCCTCCAACACAGGCACTGTTGGGTCAGGATCCAGGGCGGCTCGCCGTCAACAGCCCACAGCCCCACTGCTTCTGCCGGGTCTGCACACCCGCCCGCCCCCTCCCGGTGCTGACCCGAGGTAGTGTGCTAGCGTCATCCGGGAGCGCGGGGGGCAGCACATCGTCGTAGGAGAGGACGCCCACGACCCAGCCCCTCTCCTGCCGCAGCCGGAGGGCCAGCGCACGCGCGAAGGTCGACTTTCCGGCCGCCGGCAAGCCGCAGAGAACGCACAGTGCCAGCTTCGGCCGCCGGTCAACGCTGACCTCCCCAGCCGCCGCCGCAGTTTTCATGTCTTCCTCTGCTGCCTACAGAAACCCTTGCGCCTGTTGCGCACGCGCTGTGCACCAGCATCATACTGCGCCCTCTGGCGACACTGGAGGAAAAAGCGAGGATGCGGGTCCGGAAAGGATGCCTCGTTCCAGGCGCCTTCTGGACCAAGTGAATGACTGGTGTCAGCTGTCCCTGACGTCAGTACCCCAGGCCCGGGAGGCATTGGCGCTTCTTTTTGTACCTTCTGGACACTCTTAAAGGGCCCCTGAGTTAGGTTTACTACCGATAGAATCACCCTTCTTGCCCCACCTTCAAGCCATTAGGGCTTTGCATTTTGGTTTGGTTACAATGAGGTTTCTCTGTCCAGGAAAGTCAGAAGAGAGACTTGAAACTTCTTAAGGAAGGCTCTGAGGGTAATGAGCGGAGAGTCAAATAGCAGGAGGAGAAGCGAGGACAGTCTATTTTCTGCCGTTCCTGGGCTTGATTAGTGCAAGGGTTGAGTGTTCGTTATTGAGTCTTGGTGCCGCCAGGCGGCAGCAAGGGAGAAGAAATAGACAGGAAACACACATCCTTAGATCTTACCTCCAACACATGCAGGAAGAGAAAGAACATAGGGATTATCAATGGATTAAAAAAAAAGTGGTAGCGATCTGGGAGCTGGGACACAAGCCTATCATCCCAGCACTTGAAAGGCAGACGCAGGAGGAGCAAGTGTTCGAGATGTTCTACATGAGACCCTCTCTCAAACACCTTAGCCCTCCTAAAAAACACAAACCGCCAAGAACTACTAAACAAGGGAAATGTTGTCTGTGTGGTGTAAGAAATATTGAATTCAGAATTATTTGAGCTGCTTCCCCATCTTTGCTGCTTTTTATAGGGGTATCAACAAAACGTCATCTTGATTCCTCCTTTCCACTCCAATTACATCCCATCAATTCCCGCAGGCAACCAATGAATTTGTGACCGGCGAGGGGAGGGGGAAGGGCAAATATATCTATGTGGTTCCACCTTGTTGGGACATACACTCCTGGGTAAAAGGCAGGTATATTTATTCACTAAGATCTCACTACTTAAAAATTAAGATGGTCTAAATGATTACATATCAAAGGAAGGTGATTAAGAAAATGGTCTTCTAAAATGTACCTTTCAAATATGTGTTGATTCATATTCTGAAGGCAGGTTTTTTTTTTCTTTTTTTTGTGCTATTGCCAAATTTAGTCTCTAACTTGTGGGCTTAAGGGAACCTTCCACCTGTCTCCCAAGTAGCTAGGGACAACAGGCATGTACTACCATGCCCCACTGAGTACAGATTTGGAATAGTCTCTTAGGGGGAATAATGAGTTCTTATGTATCAGTAAATTATAGCCATTTAAAATAGGTAATCAAAACCCTGATTTGTTTAACTTAATATTGGTTATTGGTGGGAGGTTTCTGACCTTTTTTTCATAAAGAGGGTCTCACTATGTAGTTCTGGCTATATTGGAACTCACTATGAAGTCCAGGCTGGCCTTGAACTCACAGAGGGCTGCCTGCTTCTGATTTCTGAGTGCTGGGACTAAAGGCATAGGCCACTATCTCCAGCAACTAACAAACATTCTTAATGCTTTCAAAAGGAAAGACAAAAAGATCCTTTGCAATTCCTTACATATTAAAATTGAGGTCAGCTTTGAACCATAACCACACAGCCTTCTAAAAGAACCTCAGATATTCACCATTTTTGCTTTGTTATGCTTCTGTGATAAAGCTGCTACCTCTAACAAGTCCATACAGTAGAGCTGTTCTTAACTTCACAAGCACAAAACAATTCCTTATCAGCAAGCACATAGCTGGAAGGGGAAGCAAATATGGAAACTGGCCAAGCCTGGGACTGCAAGTTCTTCAAAGATTGTAATGCAGCAGAGGAATCAATTCCATTCTATAACAGAGATTCAAGCTTGGCTATGAATGATAAAGGCTTTTTTGTTTTGTCTAAACTATTGGAAAGAAATAGTGTTCTGGGAGGAGGCGACTGGGAGGAAGGTGGGATCAGAGTTCACCAGGTGTGGTGATGCCGGCTCAGTCAGCAGCATCAGTCATTAGAAGGGACGGAGGGCAGAGGGCAGAGGGCAGAGTAGAGGATGACATGGAGGAGATGAGAATAGGGTCCTGGCTTGGCAAAGAAAAGCCCAGGATGGTTCAGATGAAGGTAGTGCCTCAACACATGACAAGCAGAGATGAAAACAGATAATAGCTTTGGAGGAAATGAAGAAATGGTGATTTATTGACAGGAGTCTTTATGACAAGTATCTTTAGTTTTCTGATTCATCACCCTTATTTAAGTAAAAATCTACATGGTATTAATCTTGTGTACAAAACTGCAACTTAGCGTTTCTAGAGTATACTTCCCTTTGGAATGTCTACAGATATTAACCTAATTCATGACCAGAGGAAACAGGAAGTACAGTGTGACAGGCCAAGACAATGCAGAGGTTCCTCCACCTTGTACTCCTGCTGAGGCCGGTTCCAGGTATAGCTGGAATCTGATCTTGACAGGGACTCCCACAGAAAACTACCCGACTCTATTCTAGGGACCAAAGGTCAGAAGGTCCTAGCTAACTTATCTTAGCTTTTGTTAAAACTGCTTGTTTGTGCGGAACCTCCTCCAGCTAACATTCACCTTAGCTGCCTGTTTGTGCAGAACCCCCTCCGATAGCTAAACGCTTATCTCAGCTTCTGTTAAACCTGCTTAAGCTGCAAAGTCCCATGCAGCTGCCGAGTCAGATGCCTCAACTTTCAGGTTTCTGCCCTTAAAAACCTGTGTTCTGGACACTTGGGGTCACACCTTGGTCCCAGTTGGCTGGAATAAAAACTTTGAACCCTGTGACATACAGAAGAGGAATGATGACAATTTAGAATGTGTGAGTTCTACAAAATCCTCATATACTGGGTCTTTGAACTTTAAAGGTTGCTATTTCTGGATTTTGTTTCTATTGGTCTTTGATTTTTCTTTCAAACTTGATGAATGCACTTTACATACACCCTGGTGACTGCCTATAGAAAATTACATTCAACCATCTTTTTCTTGTCAGAAGACACATTTTTGGACAGGGTTACACATACAGACTAAAGTGGAAATTAAAGGAAAGCCTTTTTTTCTGAGTGATGAACTCTGAGATAAAACTAGGTTATGGGTGAACAAAACTACTCTCCGGAGACTGTATGGCCTCACACAACTTTGAAATTCGGGTATTCCACATTTCTTTGTAGAAATTTTAACATCTTTTGGGGTGGGGGAGAAAACTCGTCTATAACCCCAATGATGTTAAAATTATATACACAAGACACTTGAGAAAGCCACCGGAGGCAGACAACACCTAGCTTTCTTTTCTGTGGGTTCTATAAAGTTTCAAGTCCCACTTGTTCCCACAGAAAACTTGACAGAAGAATCTATTTCCGCAGAGATCGAGGCCCATTGCCATTTCTTATCAAGGCCAAGAGTGCAGAACATTAAGGTACAGTCTAGGCTTTGAGTCCCCTGGACGTTTCTTAACCTTAACGTTAAGAATTCTGCCATTTAGGATGTGCACGCCACGTTCCAGCTCATTCCTGAGGTCCAGAGGCCTGATCTTAGGGCCACCATCGGTTCAGCTGTTTAATGCCTTCTGTCACCCAATAGTATTCTGCGGTGCTAAACACAGAGCTCCACACTTTCCTCCACAGCCCACTGGGGGTGACGTGCGGATAGGAATAACACCATCAACCTTGGTCGCATTGCCCCAAATGCGGCCCGCGCAGCATATGCTCCACAGGCTGGCGTAGGAAGGGCCCGGCGTCCTCTCCCGAGGTTCTCAGATTGAGAGCTGGTTTTAAGGTGTCTTCAACCAAGACTATCTGCTCTGGGACTACCCCAGGGTCCCCAACCCGCCCCGTCCGCCCCCAAACTATCGCTGGTCCGCTGGTTGGGTCACCATAGCCAACGTCAGAATAAACATCTTGGTTTTCGCGTGCGCACGGCACCTGCGACTAGAGCGAGGAAGACACCAGCAAAGTCCTCAGTCGCCTCCCGCGAAGATTTCGAACAAACTTCTGGAAGGCAGATAATATGCGCATGCGCATTTATGGAGGTTGGTTTCCCGGGGTTTGAAGAAGCCGAGCGGGAGGGGCGGGGGCCGCGGGAAAGAACCGGAAGTTGTACTGAACCTTCACCTTTGAGGCACTGAAGGAAACGCAAGCTCCGCGAGAGAGGTTCCGGCGCTGCCTGGGCTGGAGGATACAGAATGGAGACGGCGACCGAAGGCCCGGGACTGGACCGCGGCCCGACGCTGACCTCGTCCTGGGATGCGGCGTGCGGGGCGCTGACCCAAAGCCTCCTTCTTACCCGGTTTGGGCCAGATTCCCAGGACTTGAACTTCGAGCAGCTGCTGGCGCCGTCAACTCCGGGGTGCGCCAGGCTGGGGCTGGGTGACAGCCACGCTGCCGTGGAGTGGGGAGGAGGACGGGATCCGAGCGAGGCCGTGGGACCGACCGGGATGGGTTGAGGGAGCGGGGCCGGGAGGTGAGCGAGGCTGCGGGCAGGGGCTGCGCGCTGGGCCGAGAGGCCTGGAAACGCCGATTCAGGATCCCGGAGTCAGCGGGGACACCGCCACAGGCTCCTGTTAGAATCCTCCTCGCCCCCACTCCCGAAACTAGCCAACCTTCTATTCAGGGGTATAGGAGCAGGACAAGTCCAACCATAAAGAACCACGCACGGCAGCTTGGAGAAAGGCACATCGTTGTTCTTTCATTACACACTGTGAGCTCTTTTAATGGACTGCGAATGAATTAGAGATTTGAGTAGAATGGCCACGGTCTAGGAAAGGTGGAATGGAATGCCCTGACCTCAAGCCATCGATCCTTATGAAGCCCTTGTTGGTGCGGGGAAGGTTCTTGGCCTAAGGGCAAGTGGAAGTGAGTTCGAAGAGGTGGGTTACGGGTCTACTCAGAAAGGTTCTCTGTGCGATGTTTTATCGATTTCCTTCTCAGCCCGGATCTGGTGAGTCTGAAGAGCAGCCTGAGCCCCCGAGATGAAAACCCTTGCTTCCTTTACCTGAAGTGTGGGCCTAATGGGGGTGAAGAAATCCTTTCGGTTGGCATTCTGAGTTCAGCAAGAAACATGGAAGTGTATGTAGGAGAGGAGTATTGTGGAACCAGTCGAGGCAAGAATGTCTGCACTGTCCTGGATGACAGGTTTGTGACTTGTCCAGGTGAAAGCGTTTATTTGAATCAGTGTCTTTATTCTTGACTCTTTCAACATTTGTAGATCTTCTAGCATTGACACCAGGAGTTAGGGGAGAGAAGTTAAAAACATGCTTTAACTTCACCAATAGATCACTAAGCCTTCGAAATTAAAAAGACAGGGCAGATGAGTGGGCTTATAAATATGGAAATTTAGGACTAATTAACTGGAAGTGAATTGGTAGGGCACTCATAATTAGTGGAAGTGTTTTTATTAAACTAAAGCCCTGGTAAGTATTCAGCCAGCTGTGGTGGTGCATGCCTTTAAGGAGGATCTCTGTGTCTACAAAGCCGGGACTGCTACACAGAGAAACCTTGTCTTGAAAAAACAAACAAACAAAAGAAAATATTCTTGTGTCTCTTATTTAATTCAGTGGGGTCTGTTTTACAACAGTTAGGCATTCTGAAACCCTGAATATATATATATCTCCTTCTAAATAGTGTATCAGCCGAAGACCGCCACATCAGCGTGCTCATAATCTCATATAAGATGGACCATTTCTGATTTTTTCCCCTTAACTCTTTTCAAGGTTCTGCCCAAATCTATCCTTAATGTAACCCAAACTCTGTATGTCCTATTTATGTTGGAAACAATAGTTGTGTTTACAGAACTCTTAAATATGCCGTGGGCTCCTTTGGTTTGTTCTCTCACGTAGCTGGCTCGTGAGGCACAGCTCCTCCACGTGTTGCTGCCCAGTCAGAAACCTCAGACTCCCTGTGCCTGCCTGGGAAAGGGGAATCCCAGGACACCTTTGTTTTTAAGTATGTATGAATGCTTACAATCATTGTCTGTTAAAAATGGATTCTTTTATTTTAGTGAACACGAAAAGATTCTTTTGTACAAAAAATACCTAAAATTGGAACCTCCCACCCATGCTTGTAAAATAAAGGTAAGTCATCACTAAATTTTAAGATTTAAAGTTAAAATCGGATTGTTTTAGTTCTATACATGCTTATGTTCTCTTGGTTTGGCAGTACAGTTAGTCCGACTTGATCCCTAGGTTTAGTTCAGAAATGCTTAGTTAGCTTGTAAAGGCATATTATTTTCTGATAGTTATCAATCCCTTGATAGACGTTAAAATTATCTTTAAAGTGGGGTAATTTATTAGTTATAGAAAATGTTTTATTAATATAGTAGTACTATATTTTGAAACCTTGTGAAACTCTGCTAAGAACATTTTAAAAATCTTTCTATAAGACTATAGTTCCACAAAAGGCAGAAGCAAAACTGACCGTGTATGTAACGAATGACGGGAAAACTCAAATAAGAGCCGGAAATTTCAAGGAATTTGGTCTGTTGTCTTCAGTCATAAAAATATTCTTGAGATAAACATTAATAATGCTGTCAGTTTAGGAATAGGTACTGAGTTGGAACACTCAAGTCATGTTATAAAAACGAATTCGACTCTGTTGGCAATGATTGCTTTGACCAATGCCAGCTTTTTTAACTCTCTACTTCATGAGAAAAATTAATGGTCCCTAGAAACCAAATTCTTGCAATTGTTTTATCTCCAAAGTTATGTGCTTGTTATCCCAGAAGACAGTAAGCCTCAGTTTTCAGACAAGCAAACAATAAATGACTTTTGTTGAAGAGCACAGTTCACAGAGCTGTTTATTCCGTCAGTCTAAACAGAATAAACGAATAGCTTGTAAAGGCATTTAAATGAAGTGATTTAATTCATCTAGTGAATAGGTCGTACCTGTTGATAACAGATACTGCCCTAGGCATTTAGAAGTATCAATAGTAAATTTAAGTGCTGCAGGACGATGGTGTGCACACCTTTAATCACCTTTAATCTCAGCAGAGGCAGGTGTATCTCTTTGAGTTCAGGACTACACAAAGAAACTCCCTTGAAAAACAAAACAAAATGGAGTGCCAGTCTCTATGTTGCTTATAATTTAGTGGAACAAGACAGATGATCATCATATTTGCTGATTATTTATTATTTACTATGACACACACACACACAGAGAGACCCTGTCTAAAAAAACAGAGATAAACTGTAGTCACTGATGAAAAAGCCTCATATGAAATGTCTTTTGGTTCAGAAACATGCACAGCTAAACTGTCAGAGTGATGAGTGTGAGTTAATGACCAGCACTGACCTTGCATGCCTGTGTGAGACCCTGGTTACTCATCTCTCACTACCCCAAAGTGAATGGGAAGATACCATATACAAAAATGGAAAATCTATGGTGATAAAAGCCAGGGGAGCTGGGTTCCAAACTTGACTTACACACCTGAGTATTCTTCACCCCATTATAAACTCACCCTGAATTCCACTTTATATACTACTACTAGCTATTACGTATTAAGTAGCTCTGCCATCACAGCCCTTCATTATCAGAAGACTGGATTATGTTTAGGAATTAGGTAAGTGCTATATGGTCATCTGGACAGTTTTATTTTATATTAAATAATATTAAAGCCAACTGGGGGATGCTAGGATCAAGGGATTTTAGGTTTCTTTCTCTTGGTGATACAGAGGACTCAGACTCGGGGCCTTGAGCACGTCAGTCAAGTGCACTGCACTGTCCGCCAGCCAGGTGTGGCTTAGTTTTAATTCCTTAACTAAAGGAAGCTTTCGTATTCTCTGTTGATCTTATGACTTGGGAAGAATTTCTTTATTTAAATAGTTGGTGTTTGCCTCATGATGCATTTGAATTTATTTTCTAACTTTGACGACTATAGAGAAACTTTAAATGCACTTTGAGTTAATTTTTAGACTCTTGAATGCCCTGTCTTGTTTTGGTAATACTAAGAAGTTACCTTAAGTGGTGGTTGTTTTTAATACTACTGTTATTTCCTGGAATGTTTTTGTTTCATGATAGTTGCTGTCCTTCGGTGAAAAGCAGTGTGTGCTCATCAGTAAAGTTGTGGTGCACGTGAGACCAAGGTCAGCAAATCCTTCACCAAGCTCTTCTGCTCTAGGATCACGGATAGACCTCGACAATATCCAAACCATAATGGAGTCAATGGGATCAAAGTTATCTCCTGGAGCTCAGCAGCTGATGAATATGATTAGGTGTCAGCAGCAGGCAAGTAGAGATTGATTTTATTAAATTTTAAAATGCTGGTTTGGTGGTTCAGTGGGTCAAAGACTCGCTGTATAAGCCTAATGACCTGAGTTTGATGTTGTGAAATAATCCTTTTGTACATTGTGGAGATTTGTCACTCAGGTTGGTTTAATAAAAAGCTGACTAGCCAGTAGCTAGACAGGAAGTATAGGTGGGACAGCCAGACACAGAGGAGCCTGGGAAGAAGGAGAGTGGAGTTAGGGAGAAGGTCATAAGCCAAAGGGGAAGTAAACAAAACGGGCTGGAGAGGTAAATGTTGCGAGCCGTGGGACAGCACATAGTTTAATAGAAGTGGGTTAATTTAAGCTCTTACATTTTTTTCTGGTTTTATTATATTAATAATTTTTTTTATTCCATGAGTTCCATTCAAAGGAAATTATTTGATAAAAAATATACTCTCAAGCATAGACACATATACATAAAAATAAACAATTCTAAAAGAAAATGATCAACTATTATGTCTAATGTTATATGTTACTGCCATAAGGAAGCCTTTAGTAGTGAAAACATTACAGCCTGTTAGTATATTTTGCTGTCATAGTAGTGTATATTTTAACATGTTCCGTATGAAAAGTTACAGTGAAATGATTGACAGAAGCTTAGGTTTATGTCCCAGCACTGCCACTTGCTGTCTGGCTTCTGTGGGCAGGAGCCTTTCACCTTGGTTTCCTCTCTAACATTGAACAGTAGCAGCGTTCTTCATGGGGATGCATTGAGGATCAATGAAAGAGTGCAGAGTGCCTGACTTCTAGCTGCCACTCCAAAGCTCAGCCTTCATTCTTTAATATTTGCTTATTTTCCTTGCTCAGAATTGTCTTCCCATTGGAGATCAGCTTCAGTCAGTGCTGGGGACCACAGGCCACAAGCATCTGATTGCGCTGCAGTCCTCACCTTCTTCAGGAGTCTTAGATAAAGCGTCCTCTACACCGTTTCCTCTTAGAACTGGATTGACACCTTCAGCCATCACTGAAAATTTAAAGGCTCTTATTGATAAAAGCACGCAGCCACCTGGAAAAGGAAATACCACAAACCACGATGAGTGCCACCTTGTGCCACAAAACCATTCCCTTCTTGAAAGTGATCTTAAAAATGCAGTCTCTTCTTTCTTACCGAAGAAGGCAAGTGGCAACTCAAATGTGCCCAGCTCTGAGTTGCTGCCTTTTCTCCAGACTTTATGTAGTCAGGTCAGCCATCTCCGTGTGGGACATAATGCCAAGTGGCAGGAGAAGAGCTGCAAGCCCCGAGAGAGCACTGCTGGGGTTTCGTAAGTATTTTATTTAAAGCAAATACTGTTGAGACTTGGTAAGCGAAGAGTCACATGGAGGGAAACAGATTTGCCTCGGGGGCACTAACTGGCGAGGTGTTTCCAGCTCTTCCAGTTCTTCCTTGACACACTCACTAGGAACGGAGCAGAATGGACTGCACCAAAGGGAGAGCCTAGAATTGGTGTTGCACAGTCTCAGGCATTTGTGGAAGATTATAGCCATCAACTAAGGGGTGCATTAGAAGGCCATGTGCATGAATTAGGAGGAACTGTGAGAATTTACAAGTTTTGACAAGGTATGCTATGCATGCCATTGTAACAAATTACCTTTGTAGCTTGTGTTTGTTCCAGGCTACATTTATAGTCAAAACAATAGTAGGCTGGGAACTATTTATAGTGTAGAAGCTCTTCTCCTCTGCTCTCAACCCGTTCTCTGTGCAGCATCTGTTTGCTTAGGATGCCAAGTAGCATGTTCCTAATCCTTTTCATAGATATCGTTTGTCAAAATAGTGTTCTAGTCTGAAATACAGAACTCTGGTCATAGTTCACATGAACCATCTTCCTCTGCTATTTAATCTCAATTTAAAGTTTACATCTGAAAATGGTGCTTGGATTAGTTTGGAAGAAAATATCCCCAACCACCAACATGATTACATCAGCACTTAGTATAAGTTCTACTGACAATAGCAGAAGTTTTATTCATGTTTGTGAAAGAGTCACAGAAATAGATTGTATCAAGTCATTTAAAAAGCCTCATCAAATTTAAGAGGACTGAAATCGGAGAGAGTATTTTCTCAGGCCATACAGAAAGATAAGAAATCATTTAACGGTAATGGAAAGACAATAGGAAAATGTCCAAACACTTGATGATTAAACAACGCAGTTTATCTATTGAAGAAGTCTGGGGTTTGGAGAATTGCTCAGTTGGTGGAGTGCGTGCTGTGCAAGCATGAGGGCCTGAGTTTCAAACCCTGTGTTTAAAACACAGAAGCCTGAGTGTGGTGGTGTACACCTGTAATCCTGTTATCCTGTGCTGGGGAGACCCAGACAGGAGGACCCCTGAGGATTGCTGGCTAGCTAGTCTTAACTAAATCGTCTTAACTAAATCGGTGAGCTCTAGGTTCTCTGAGAGACTGTCTCAGCAAATAGAATGACAGAGATAAACATCCATGTCAGCTTCCTGCTCTCTAGGCTCATGTACACATACACATATGCATCCACATGAACATGTGTACAACATACACATCACACACAAAAGAAGTCTCAATAGAAATATTTTTTAAAATATATAAAGCCGAGTAAAAATGCAGAGATAAGTTTGTGAGCTGTATCTAAAAAGTGAAGAAGGCAAGGGTTTGTAGCATCATCTGTTGCCTTAGTGAAGATGGCTGTGAGGACAGTGGCACAAAGCTACTACCCAAAAAATGACATAAGGGCTGGAGAGATGGCTCAGCAGTTAAGGACATTTGTTGGTTTAATTCTCAGCACCTGCATGGCTTACAACCACCTGTAACTCTAACTAACCCCAGTAGTTCCAGTGCCCTCTCCTGACCTCTGCGGCCACTAGGCACACACATGGCACATATATATACATACAAGCAAAACACTCATACACATAATAAGAAAATTTAAAAATGTAAGCAATGAAATAGATGGTTTGAATAGTTTTAAGCCATTAAAGACTGAATTCAAAGTCCAGCGGTGGCGCAAACCTTCAGTGGTAGCGTTCAGAAAGCCAAAGGAGGATGTTCATAAACACAGGGAAGAAAATAGTGAAATAAAAAGGTGATTCTTTGAAAAATTCATGAACGTTGATGACCTTCTAACAAGACTAGAGAATAGGGGAGAGGATACAGACTGCCAGTGTGAGGTGCAGTGGAAAGTTTCACTAAGAGCCTTGGTAGTCAGGGGGTGTGGGAATAACTTCATGCTCACAATTTTAATAACTTAGAGGAAATGGATTTACTTTTTTTCAAACATTTTATTTTATTTTTTGTTTTATAAATAATACCATTCAAAGTTTCCACCTCCTCCCATTTCCCTCCCACTCTCCTACTTACCCTCCTCCCTCCCCCTCCAGTCCTAAGAGAGGGCAGGGTACCCTGCCTTGTGGAAAGTCCAAGACCCTCCCTCCTCCATCCAGGCCTAGGAAGTTGTGCAGACTAGGATCCCCAAAAGCTAGTACCTTTTAAAAACCATAACCTACAGATCACAACACAAAATAGATAATGGAACGACCCTATAACCACTAATACTACTGAATTTGTAATGGGAGGGTGTTAAAGTGTGGATGTGGTGTGTGTCATCATCCCATCCCCCTCCCCCGTATTGAAGGCTTGATTTCTACGTTGTGGATCCAGTCATTGAGTCATTGGAACATGAGGGACTGGTGGAGTTGTACTTCTTTAGTGTTTGAAGATAGTAAGAATGGAGCTTTGTTGGAGGAAATAGGTCACTGGGGCATAACTTTGGAGAATGTCTGATCCCGGGCCCCTCCCTAGTTCTCTTCTGTTTTCTGGTTGCTATGAGGTGAGCCCCTTTGCTCTGGCACACACTCATCTCCCATACTTTCTGGCCCACCCCGGGCCTACAGCAATGGGAAAGCAGGCTGTAAAACTCTGAAACCAGGAAGCAAGCAACCCTGGAAACTATTCTCACATACCATCACAGAGATGGAAAGCCAATACAGCATGTTCATGGGAAAAATATACTGGCCTAGGTAGTTCTACTGAAGAATTCTGCCAAACATGTAGAGAACAGCATTTTTTACATAATCCAGAAAATCAAAGGGGAATAAAAAGACTTCTTATTTTATGAAGCTACTGTTACCCTGGAACCCCAACTAGATGCTAAATAACTTGAAATACATAAAATATATGTAAATACATATTTAAAAATCTATAAAATAATTGTACATAGCTGACAAAATAGGATCTGTGAACTGAAAATTATAAAATATTGATAGAAGAAATTTTGAGAAGGCTTAAGTCTAAAATAATGTAGAGACATGCCATGTTGTAGAGTTACTCAGCATAGTAAAAGCAGCAGTGCTCCCCTAATTGATATATGTGCTTGATGTACTTCATGTTTAAAAAGAATAAATCATTTCATATTTCAGGATGTGGTAGAGCTGTAGCATCAGGTACTAGCAGGCAGTGGGGCACACAGGTGGATGGGACAGAAGCACAGAGGGCTTGGCAGCATTGCGGTTCAGTGCAGGAAGAGCAGTCTTAACAGGTGGTGCTAAGCCATTGTGATATCAACAGGTAAAAATAAACCTCATACCTTCTATGAAAATGAACACTAATGGGCCATACAGCAAAGAGTAAACTGAAACTTTCTAATATATGGGAGGAACCCCTGGAGTCTGAGTGAAAAATGCTTAGATACACCATCAAAAACATGATCAATAAACAAAAAATGATGTGTAGGCTCTAGCAAGATGTCAGACTTACGCCTGTGGAAGACCCTCGTAAGATAATTTAAATATAAACTGGAAGAAAATATTTCTAAATCACAAATTCAACAAATGACTTGTTCCTAACATACAAGAAATCACATAATTCAGTGTTTAAAGCTTAAAAATGCTCTCAAGCACATGGAGAACTAGATCTCTCACAGCTTGTTGCTGGGATCATAAAATGGTACAGTCACCCAAAAACATTTGGCAATTTCATTACTGCATGTATATTATCATATGACCTGACAGACATATTCCTCAGCTTTTATCCTAGAGAAATGAAATTTTATGACCATATAAAAATCAGTATACAGTCGTTCTTGGATGCTTTATTTGTTTTGCTTTGATTTGTTTTGAGACAGGGTTTCTCTGTGTAACAGCCCTGACTGTCCTGGAACTCACTCTGTAACCCTGGCTGGCCTCGAACTCACAGAAATCAGCTTTCCTCTGCCTCCTGAGTGCTGAGATTAAAGATGTGCACCACTACTGCCAGGAGAAACTTTATTTGTAATAATTCTAAAATGGAAACACCAAACTATTTTGTAACAAGCAATTTAAGAACTGGTATATCCATAGCATGGAGTGGTAATCAGCAGTCAGACAAATAACAACCTGAATGGCTTTTGGGTGAATTATGATGAGGAACAACAGACCGTGCGGCCACATGGCAGATGGTAGAGACATACTAGTAGGAGTTGGGAAAAGGAATGGACAAAGGGATGACAGGATGAATATCTTTGTAGTCACAGGTTCTGCGTCTTGACTGGTGGTGTTGGGATGAACATTGTGCATATGATAAAATGGCACAGAGCTGTACGTACATTTTGTATAAATATTAGTGTGCTGGTTTTGATTCTGTTTCATAGTTAGGAAATAATAAAACCATCATATGTTAATATAAGTATGAAAAAGAAGCAAATTCTTTTAAGACTTTAGTAAAAATTATTTTAATTTGTGAAAACTTTTATTAGCTTTTGATGACTATAATCTTCTAAGTGTTACCTTATAACTTATAACTAGTAAGAACACTGAAGGCAAAGCAAGTTAATGTCTGAAATGCACGTTTATATACTAAATCCACTGTATTAGGGCATTTTAGGAGGAGAATTTACTGCCGCCAATTCTGTGAGTTATTCGAGCACAGGTTTTACATCTCACGTGCATTTGGAAAGTGCCGCTGTGTGTTCACACGAGCATAAGGATGAAAGAGTCAGATAACATCATTCTATTAGTGCAGACATACTTTAGACTTTATTGAGTTCCCGGAGGAGAGAGCACCAGGTTTTTAGGCCCCTCTGTGAGGCTCCCTGTTCTGGTGTTCATTGACTATAACAGCCCTTTCCTGAAGGCTTGTAGTTTATTTCAGACAGATTCTCATGTAGCCCAGTGTCTTAGTTACTTTTATTGCCATGACAAACACCATGGCCAAGTTCAACTTATAAAAGAAAACAGTCTGGAAACTTATGGTTCCAGAGGGTTAGAGGCTATAATCATCATGGTGGGGAGCATGGCAGCAGGCAGCAAGCAGGCAGGACATATCAGTGAAGCAGTAACTGAGAGCTTACATCAGAGAGCAAGCTAACTGGGAATGGTGTGGGCTTTTGAAACCTCAAAACCCACACCCCCAGTGTCACACCTCCACCAACAAAGTCACACCTTCTAATCCTTCCCAAATAGTTCCACTAACTATGGACCAAACATTCAAATATATGAACCTGTGGGCGTCATTCTCATTCAAACCACCACACCCAGGCAAGTCTCTGATTGACCAGTTTGACCATGAACTTTGATTCTCATGGTTCATTTCCCAAGTGCTGAAATTACAGGTGTGTGTTATACTTTGTGTTGGTGTGTGCTTGCAGGTGAAACCAGAGGACAACATCAGGTGTTCTCAGAAGCCATCCTTTTGAGATAGAGTCTTTTGAGATAAGGTCTATCACTGCAAACTATACTGGCTGGCTAGTGAGTCGCTAAGATCCTTTTGTCTTTATGTACCCAATTCTGGGATTTTAAGTTCACACTACCATGGCTGCCATGTGTATGTGAATTTATGTAGTAAATATTCATGTTTGAGGGTGTACATGCAAGTGTGTGTAAACTATGGGTGGAAGGGAGTGGTCAGTTTTGGGTGTCTTTCTCAATCATGTCCTACCTTGGGTTTGAGGCAGATTTCTTATGGTATCTGGAGCTCCCTGATTTGGTAAGGTTATCTGGCCAGTCAGATGTCATCTCTCTGCCTCCCCTGCATGAGGATTATAGGCACAGGCCATAGCACCAGGTTTCTTACAGAGTATGCTGAGGGTGTGAACTCAGGTCTTCACACCTGAATCTCTTTCCAAACTGAACCATTCCCCCAGCCCCAGCTTTCAATATTTTAATTTTAATTTTAATGTTTAATTTGTCTTCTAGAATCTATGATCTTCTTGCTTGCAGGGCAGTTCTTCTAGACTGAGCTGTCTCCGTTGCCACCACACCTGATCTTATGCAGTGCTAGGGATTAACTCAAGGCTTCTTATATGCTAGAAAAACCTCCAGCAGCACAGCCTCAGCCTCAGCTTGTTCTTTGATTATCTGTGCTTTCTATCGTTCTCAGTTGTCTAACTAGACAAAGCAGTTAGTAGGAGGGTGCTGCGCATTGGGCACCGCGGCCACTGTTGTGACTTTTAGAGCTGGAGTGTGCCATGGGGAGGGTAGCTGTAGAGACCAGTGCAGTGTGTAGCTTGGGTGCTCTTTGGCTAGCTCAGTTTGTTGCTTTTGCCACCTTTATATAAAGAGAAAATTGATAGACTTTACTTTTTTATTTTTAGGATGGAAGAACAGCCTGTTTGCTCCTACTTGGAAAAGGTTCTTTCTAAAAACATGGAGCTCATGGAAAAGAAGCTTATGGACCACATCGATGAGAGGATCTGTCAGCTCCAGGAGCACATAGATGCTAAAATGGCTTTGTTAGTGGACTTGCTGCGAAATCCCAACTCCCCACCCCCAGGGATGCCGCTAAGACACTATGACTCCAGAGAAAGACTTTCCAATGGAGAGAGATAAGCTATCGACATACCCAATTATTGCAGATATTTATTACATATTTATTACAAAGCCCAAATCCAAAAAGGTTATGAAAATCAAGTCTTTAATGTCCTTTGAAGGATTGTTGTCTTACATGGCGACCTCAGTGCTCTTTTTAGTGCACTTGTTACTGTAGACCCGGGTCTACACCATCAGCCACCCTGATGCAGTCATAAGTTATTTTGCTTGCTATATTTTTCACTCTTACAGAAGTGTACTTGTATTGCTCGAGTTTTTAGGATATGTAAAGACTTCTAATGCAGTTCATTGGTTTGTATTGTATATGACATATGTTTGAAGTGGATTTTTTTATTTATACAGATACCTGTGAAATACAGTCTCAGGAGTATGAAAAGTAATGCTATGATTTTTTTTTCTAATTTTCGGGAAGTTGGATACCCGGACTCTTTCCTTCGGATCGCCAGTTTACACTTCATGCTGTATCTGAGATGACTGTGTGCCGTGTTGGGGCAGTCTGGGGTAGTTTACACTTCATGCTGTATCTGAGG